CATCAGATATCTCTTCAATACAACTGTGACAAAAAACCATTTTGCAGATCTTTTAAGAACATAAGAACATAATACTTACCATAAAATGACTATAGCAAGTATATTCACTATCTACATGTCTACACTATAAGGTAAAACTGTTCTAAAGCGGAAAAAACTCAAAGATCAATGACCAAAAACCTTCGTTTGGCAGGAGGTTTCCTTGGAGCACTTGTTTTTGACCAGGCAAAAACACTAGGAATTGCATCTGGTAAAAGACACCTTCTGTTAGGCGTCCAGCGGAAATCGTTAGATACAAAGTGTTGAGAACAAACATATGTAGCATCCGTGATCTGTAAGAAAACAAACGAGCGTTTACATGTAATAAAAAAGCTGACTATATCACAAGAATAATCTTAATCCGGTCTTACATGTAACAAGCATGACGGCAAAGCCACACAAAATATAAGCTTATTATTGGTTCAATATCTTACCTTAAAATGTGCTCCAACGTCTCTACGAATAACCTGAATCCATCTTTTACAAAGAATGGAATCTTTCGGAAAATGATGGAAGGACAATTGAGGGTTTTTTTTCAAATAGTTTGTGCACATTGGCACACAGCAATGTTTGGCCGCCATCTTGAATGTTCGAGCCTATCGTCCTTAGCCTCATTTTCATGCAGCTCATTATTTATGCGCATATTCATTAATTTTCCCGTATAGGAAGTAAGAAAAAAGCTATTTTACGACATAATTTGCTTTCATTTGTGATTGTATGATAAACAGAATATTACATGGCCGCGCGGTGGTACGAATTTTATCTTCTCGTGCTCGTGAGAGATCTTTTCAACACTCGAAGATAAAATCCGTACCACCGCGCGGCCATGTAATATCCTCTATAAATACAAAAATAAATATTGTTCTTATACCTTTATGGCGAGGATGGTGTGTGTTGTTTATTCGATTACAAACATGCGCTGCCCATTGCTTGTATGCATCGAATTTCGCGCTTGACTTTCTCATGCGTCGACATCTCGGTAATTCTGCGGGAATATCGTTTAGCTTGAATGTAAGCTTGAATCACGTGGGAATGCAAGCGAACCCGGACCTTCAGGATATCATAATCTTGGAATTTCAAATACTTTAGCTGTCTCTGAAACAAAAACTCAAGTACAGACATCTTCTGAGCAGCCTTTGACTTTTCTCCAAAATGCTACAATTCATGGTGGAACTTTCAATATATCAATAAACGCACAGAATAAAAGTCCAACTTTGCTTCCGATTCAACAAACTTCGTCCAAGAAGCGGTGTCGTATCATTGAAACCATTGGATCCTGTTCGATTCTCGGTTGGGGCGCCATATGTGATTTGAGTTTCTTTCGTTCTCTCCCTTGCGTAGAGGGTCTTTCCGGGTCTTTCCGGGTTTTCCTCCCTCAGTAAAAACGAACCATTTCTATCTGCTGTGCTCCGCGTTCAGTCGTTCGTTGCTATGTAAAGGAAGCGCCTAGCTGGCAGCACGCCTATGTGTAAGTGTCTGTAAAATGTGTCTGTAATATAGCACTTCGACTTGAGAGCGCGTCGAGCTGCGTCTTTCGCAATTCAGCACCCATGCTGCCATGAAGGACGATTAGCACCCAACACCTTTTCCTTTCCTTTTCCTAAACTATATATATCATACATACATATGAGTGCGTAGCACGAAACTCGGAGTCACAGCAAAATCTTGCCTCTTTGATATCATATATAACTAGCTCTACACTTTATGTGTATTGAGCACTCTTTAATGGGATCAGCTACTTCCTCATATGATAGTATATCATATATTTATTATAGAGTACAAACACTAAAACTGTGCAACAGCAATACCACTAAATACTGCTAAATTATGCTAATTCTATTGTTTTCTATTGTTAATTAACACTAATTTGTAGTAAATAGTGGAAAGTGTTACACGTTTAATATTTGTACACTATATTTTTATATTTTTTAATATAAGCTGTATACAGCCTTTTGCAAAAATTATGAGAATTGTTGAAATATCTAAATATCATAATATCAAGTGCATGATCCCGCGCGATGCCCTTAGTCCCTTGTCTTTGTTGTTTAGTTTTTTTGGCGACGGACTTATCCGTAGTTCTGAACATTTTCTCGATGTCAACAAAGAATTTTTCTAGCAAACCCGCGTGTTCCGGACAATATGTGGATATGGATATTATGATATTTAGATATTTAGACAATTCTCATAATTTTTGCAAAAGGCTGTATGTTAGGTTTTGAAAATAAAGATAAATATATGATTATCAGTTATCATTATTATTGTTATTATTATTAATATTTTGTTATTATTATTAAGGACCACCCTTATTTTACAAAAGGTGCTTAGTCTCTAAGCTCCTGGATGGGGCCGAGGCTAAGTTAAATTTACACCTGCAGTATGAATGATATCTCTACTCTGGTTGTCTGCGAAACAGAAATTCGTGAATATTTTGTTATTATGTTATGCTTAATCAATTGTCATAAGTGTTGGTATTGGTCAATAGTTTTTCTATTACATGTAATCAAACTAAGGTACAATTTATGTCCACATGAGCATCTTATTATAAGACATCATGCTGCTTATCAATGAATGTTATTCAGTCAATTTCTTATTATGTAATTTTGGTTTTAACTGTGGGGTCCACAGTGTACTAATTGGTTCACACTGCGATGTTGTCTCCCCCTATTATCTTCACTTTTTCTTAATTTTCCCTTATGTGCAATTAAGTTAATAAAATAATACCCAAAGGAGCTGGTATATTCTGGTAGAGTGTTCGCACTTAATGCGTGAAATATAAATACTACAAAATAGGTGATAAGTTATACAAATTCCATTGTTTCCTATTGTATAATCAACACTATTTAGTAGTAATTAGTACTATTTGTTTCACGCTCTAAGTGCAAGGACTCTATAGCACAATACAACAAGGTCCCTCATAAAAACTCATAAAGAAAAATTAGTGAAACTGCAATGTTTTATTAATATTCACAGGTGAATTTCAAAGGTGCCACCCCTGCTAAATTCAAGGATGGTCAGGTACATTTCTTACTTAAAACATAACATGAATCAGCTAATTAAATTTTAGTAACAAAGAAATCAATTTTCGTTTTATGTGTTCGTACAGTGCTACATCTGCAATTAGGACAAGCCAGACATTTGTCTGAAAGAATGTGATGATGTCTTCCATAGATTCTGTGTCAGCGAATGGGTTTAGGTGAGTGTAATCTTTTTAATATCTTCACAGCAAGATATGATGGATGAACAATTGACCTTTTTGCCAATCTATCTAGTAGTATGTACTTAGTTACTAAATAATTGCAGGTTGATAAGAAGCAACAGGAGTGCAATTAATGTCAGACTTTACCATTTACATGCACTTAATGAATTCTTTTCTTTTTTTACTTAAATGTGAACGTTTCCTTTGTATTTCAGAACTGCAAACCTGATAACCCCAAGTGCCCAAAATGCAAAGTAGAGTTTGACGGGAAGCCATACTCTTCAGAGGTGATTGATTTGGTGTATCTTTCACTGATGTCAATACTCCAATTCCACGATGTTTTGGCGCGCGGGAATGGTAACGAAATATCGGCATGAAAGCGAGGGCTGGTGCGAAAATGTAAACAAGAAAGGTCAAAATGTCGTTTCAAAAGTTAAATGTTGATGAACTAAGGAACTAATTGAAGGAAAGAGGCATTCCGCTCAGTGAGGGTGGGAAAAGGAAGAGGAAAGAGAATCTGGTTCTTCTTTGTATTAATTCAAACAAAATGAAACAGCCAAAAGTTGATATCGGCTACGAGGAGTTTTCGCCTGTGCTGAAAGATAAACTACAAACCACTGATGCTGGGCAGCTTCCCAATCCCGGAAATGTGAAGGTATGGACAAGCAACTTTTCTAATGTACCGGAGTTTACGTTTGGCCAGCTATATAACTACTTTATTGGCAAAGATGATTACACTGAAGAAAGTCTACGTGCTTTCAAGAGTTTCACCGGCTTCAAACTTTACAGAGATGGACATGTCGTGATGTTGCAATATCATGCCATACAAGGCACGAATTACTCTTTTTTCAAATTTTCAGTCAAGCCAAGCGACAGGAGTAAAACAGAGGAGGGAAAGTCGCCCTACAGTGGATTTATAGTCATGAAGGAAAATGCAGACATACACTCTGCTTATTGTGAGTGCAAAGGAGTAGCCGATGGTCTATGTAAACATGTCGCTACCGCATTGTTTGATCTTCAAGCAACTGTATGTAATAACTTGGTTACGTCGTGCACTTCTACAAAATGTGAGTGGAAAAGGCGTGTTCGAAATGATGTCTATTCACTTCGGCTTGATGAATTAAATATTATTAAAGCAGAGTTCCGAAAAGATGAAAAAAAAAAACAATAAGAAACCAAACAATTTTGATCCTAGATGTACAGATGTTGATGTAAATACAAAACGCGAGAAAATGCGTAAAGGAACTTTGTCCAGATTCATTGGCATTGATGTTTTTAGAAGAACCCAGCATTCCAGTCACAGATGCAGAAAGTCTTGACAAGCATATGAATGAAGATGTTAACGTTGAACTGATTGAAACAGTTGAAAACATAGCAGTATACAGCATGATAGAATATGCAGACGTTTTCAAGAGTATTGAAAAAATAACCTACAAAGAGGGAGAAAGGGTAGATGAAGACACTATTACACAGTTCACAGATTTCATTCAACAAGACAAAGACCAAGCTCAGATAATATGTCACAAAACGATTCAACAAGGACAGAGTGAAGGACAGCGAGCAGGAAGGATTACTGCCTCAAACTTCTACAAAGTCTGCCATTTAAGAGAAACAACAGATACCAAAAGTACTGTAAAACTACTGATGAACTACTGTCCTATGGAGAATGTACCATACCACTTACAATGGGGCCATGAAATGAAAAAGAGGGAGTGGCAGCAACAGCCTATCACAAGCACCTTAGCAGCAAACATAAGGGTAATTATTTATCAATGTAGAAACATTTTATTGTTATTGAAAATTATTTGTCATTATCTTTTTGTCTGATATTTCATATTAATGTATGTAGGCTTGCATTTGATTGAAAGCGGTCTTGTCATCAATGAAAAATGGCCATATCTTGGTGCAAGCCCTGATAGAATACGATTATGTGATTGCCATGGGAAGGTTTTGGTTGAGTGCAAAAGTCTGTATGCAAAGAAGAATCTTCTACCATCAGTAGCTGCATCTGATAAAATATACAAAACTGATGACGGAATAATGAAACTTAAAGAGGAGACATCTTGGTATTACCAGATTCAAGGGCAAATGGCAATTACAGGTATCCGCCTTGCTGATTTAATTATTTATACAAATAAAAAGATATTGATCATTTCTGTTCCTTTCAATCATTATTTTTGGGAAAACAAAATGCTTGGAAAGTTGAAATCATTTTTTGAAAAGTCTCTTGCTCCTGAGCTTCTAAGTAAAAACATTTTGAAAAGTATCAATAAAACAGTTGAGGAATGAATACAAGTTATTTATTTCATAATAAATTATAATTCAATGTTAATCAAAATAACAGATTTAACTTCATGGCCCTTTGGTCACTAATATATTATACATGTAATTGTTCACCTTAAAGAGCATATCAGTGAGAAAAAACTGATGAGGCATTATATGATTGATTCTATTTTAAAATAAAAGCCAATTTAATTTACAAATATTTGTATATAGAGATGTTTTATAGGCACTCTCTTTTCATATTTTCATAGTTGTCAGCTTGAACAGGTCTAATTATATTTTTTCATTTTTGGATCCGATACGTACCTATTTGAGAATATCAGAAAGCACTTTTTGTTTTGTTCTGACAGAAATTTAAAAATGTATTATTTCTTTTCAATAGCTTAATTATTTATGGAATTGTATGTATATATACAGAATTAAATTATAAAAGCTTTTGGGTAATAATTACTAATTCGAATATATTTGTAAATGTAATTTAATTCCTTTACCCACTTTTTTGAAAATTATTCAATAAAGTCGAGATCAAATCATTAGTTCTGCATTAGTATTTCAACAATTGATACATGCAAATGAGTTTATATTAAAAATATATACATCTATTTACTATTTAATTGAAACCCAGCCATCAAGCTCCTCTGATGGAAATGAAGTCAGCATATCCCATCCAACAGTCAACCAGCCATCAACCTCCACGTCTGATGGAAATGAAGTCAACCAACCATCAACATCAGACACAGCCCATACAGAAGCCACAAATGCCATTGTGGAAATTACTTCCAGACCACAAAGGTAGGCTATAACCTAGCATGATTTTAGTTATTATTTTGTTTTGCCATTAAAACATTCAATTGATTTTTATTTCTACATACTTTTAGGACCAGAACAATTGAAATCAAAAGGGTCAATATATTGTTTTATCTCATTCATGCTTTCAAAGATGAAAGCATTTCAGAATGCTTTGTAACTGTGTCGATGATAAACGGCCAAGGTCAGCGAGACCTGGGCAGCGACCTGGGAGGCGTGTTTCGCGATTATATTTCCGCCTTTTGGAATACATTCTATGAGTCCTGTACCATTGGCGAAGACGAAAGGGTGCCATCCCTCAGGCACGATTTCCAGAAGGAGGAGTGGGAGGCCATTGGCGGCATTCTGTTAAAAGGTTTTGAGCAAGTTGGGTAATTCCCCATCAAGATCAGCAAAGCATTTTTCGTCAGCCTATTTTTCAGTGAATCAGCTGTCCAAGGTAAAATCTGAAAGATTCCTTGGTAAATTATTTATCAAGGGATGACAGTGAACTTGTCAAGCTTGCAATTGAAGGAGAACTGCCAGAAGAGCAAAGAGAAGACTTCATCGAATTGCTGGAAATGTTTTGCTGCAAGCGCCTGCCGAAGCCGGGAGAGCAAAAAGACCTTCTTAGTGAAATCGCCCAGAAGCCTGAATATGCGGCTCATTGCATCAAAAAGACCTGCCTCCCACTGATGAAGTTCCCTGATTTCCAAAGCGTTGAATCACTTTTGTCGATATGCAAAAGAGCCCAACCAACCACTAAACAAGTTGTAGCACTTCTTGAAGCAACATCAACAAATGCTGCAGAACGAGAGGTGTTTGTTTATATGAAGCGCTGCACACGTGGTCTAAAAGATGACATGATTGGCAAATTCTTCAGATTCTGCACTGGGTCAGATGTTCTTTTGCCATCCATGACGAAAATAGCAGTCAATTTCACTTCTCTCGATCGAGCTGCTAGAAGACTTGTCGCACACACTTGTGGCCTTGTTCTTGATGTTCCATGCACATATAACTCATTCCCAGAGTTTCGAGAAGAGATAAACAGCATATTAAATAGTGGTGTGTGGGACATTGACTTCATATAATCATGAAAAATTAATTCTAAGTTTAATCATGGATATATCTTCACGTCTCGAAAGTTCTTTCAACTATGCCATTTTGTATTGTATAACAAAGCATGATTTATTAGGCAAGATGGGGGTTGAAGAACTCACACTTTTTTATAAACCAAGAACATAGTCTTGCCCATCCCTTTAATATACATTACATTGTATTATTTAGATGTTAAGAGCGAGTGTCAGTAAATATCGAGAATCTATTGACAGATCGAAAAATTGGAAATCTTTTTTATTTCCCCAAAAGAATGCCTTTGGTAAGTTATTTTCAAAAGTATAATTGAAAAGTCCGAGCGCCTTTTGTTTTTGGAGAAATTACGGGAAGATGGATTTTACGGTTTTTGGTCGCCACAAAGGAGTAAAATAGA